AGCGACGCGGTCGATTTCGACCGCACGATCTTGGAGATCGCGCGATCAAGATCGGTCGCGGGCGGAGCTGCATGGCCCCTGCGCGAGGATGACACGTATAAATCGAGATATGGTCCAAATTGTTTTTTTTTTTTTTTTATGGATTCGAACTTGGGTCTGTATTTCAACAGTTCGTGGGTTCCCCACGAACGTGATGTGACCGTTGGTTGCTGCCAACGGAAAAAGAAGAAGAAAAAGAAAATAAATAAATAAATAAATAGATAAAACTAAAACTAACTACAGGTTGGAGCGCCAGATGGTGCTATAGGAAGTGACTGGGGCGTTTTAAGCCCTAGTGCAATTGACAGTGCCAGTAGAAAACGGGCAACCGTTTCTTAGAGGTAAGTTATTTTCTTTTGTTTTTTAGAGTTCTTTTTAGATTTTCTTTTAGATTTCTTTTAGATTTCTTTTTAGATTTTGTTTTAGCTTGTTTTTGTCTTTTCTTCTTTTCTGGATCCTGAAGTTTCACTTTGCGCCCGTTCGTTTTGAAGAAACGGGCTGCAGAGAGTTTTGGTGTGTAGGGTGAGCAAAAGACAGTGAATCTACCTCTATAGTTGGAAACTATACATCAGAATGAGAGAGAGAGAGAGAGAGAGAGAGACAAGGGAGGGGGATATGTGACTGAGCCAGGCTGTTTCGTCGGACTTGCACTAACTCATCAAGGGGCTGTGCCCCGACAGCCCATCTGAGGATGGGCAAAGATCAAATGAATCTGCCGCGGATTGCGGCTACGTACGGGCGGCAGATGCAACATAAAGTAAGTTTTTTTATCACCTTTTTTTTTCTGATTTTGTTAGGTCCCCCTCACCCTTTCGTCGTTGTGCAGTGTGCTGCACCCATTCGTTTTAAGTAACGGGTTGCAGCACTCGACAACGCCCGAACCTGGCACTGTTGGCGGCCAGGTGCAGACGCGTGCTGCAGCAAAGGGGGGAGAGAAAACCCTGCGGGGCTTGACTCTAGTTCGACTCTGTGAAATGACTCTGGGGAAAGGGAGGCTGCTCGTTTGAAAAACGAGTTGCCCCCTACACAGAGAAACTAGGGGGTTGAAAGCAAAAAAAAACAAAAAGGGTAAGAGGGAAGAACAAGAAATAAGGAAAAGTAAGGAAGGAGGGGAGAAAAATATAACGGCCACGAATGTGGCCGCGGCCATAGAACAGGTGCAGCCCCTAGAAGGTTCAAGGGGCTGATGGGACAGCGCCTGTTCAGTTGAACAGGCAGCTTTAAAGTGGCTGAGTACAACTAGTTTCAGGAGCACCTGGTCTGGGAAACGGCCAGGTACTCCTGGTATCTGATGGTCCTGGTTCCCCTAGGGGAAAACCAAGGCACACGACTCCTGGCCATTGATTTAGATCAAGGGCCAGCAACACTGACGAATTTTGCCTGGCTGTAGGCAAAGCAGCTGCCCACAGCAATCAGCTGGCTATAAAAGTCAGCACTCCACCCAGCAGCCTCACACTTGCGGCAGTGCTGCTGGGGCATTCACTTGAGTGAATGCTGGCTGGTTGTTGCATGCTGCTGGAGAGGTGCAGTGCTGCCAGTGGAGGTGCTGGTGGTGGTGTGGAGTTCTACAAAGAGTTGGAGGAGGAGAAGGGAGGCAGCCATAGTTGAGGCCTTGGAGTTTTTGCCCCAACCTTGTGCGTGTGCTGTGTATGTGGGTTGGTGCTACAGTGTTGCGTCAGGGTCCGGACGGTGCGGCAAGCGGCACCAATTTTAGTGGGGTTATGCTGCCGGACTGCCGCCACGACATCAAGACCTTCCTAAGGGAAGGTGCTGTCGGATTTTTGCGGCGGCGGCACTAGTTTTAACGACAGTGGTGCGGAAGTGCTGCCGATTTTTCACGGCGGTTGCAGCAGTCGCACTTCAAGGGGAGGCGCTGACCGTTTGGCGGCACGACAATGGCGATGTTTTTTTTGTGAGGTTGCGCTGCTAAAATTTTGGGTACGGCGGCAGCGGCACTTCAGTGGGAACTGCTGCTAATGCTTTTGGCACGGCGGTGTGATACCGATTTTGATGGCGTGGCGAGCGGGAGTTCCGCGCTTTATTTTTTTGTGGTGCGCGGCGGCTATGGTGGATCCCAATGTGGCCTGAAGGTTGGACTGACACTGGTAGGTGGTTGGGATTGTGCGGTAGTGGTGTGTGGGCTGGCGACATGAGGAAACTGCGGAATGAATGCTTGCGGCAACAGTTATTGTAGTACGATATTTGCGGTTTGCGCCAGAAGGACATCGTTATTTTTGGGGGGGGGTCGCAGCACATGCGGTTTGGACCAGGGCCACCTTTATTTTTTTGCGGCGCGCAGTGCAAGCGGTTTTGAGTTTTGGACCACCTGGTATTATAGGCGATGGTGTGGGACTGCCCAATACCACTTAGGACTAGGTGGGCTGGTTGCTGTGATCGGGACCAGCTTGTGGTTATTGTGAGTGGATGTGGTGACTAGAGGCGACGTGGACTTGTCGTTGGTTGGGGAGGATCCTTGATGGTGAAGGTGCAGTGAGGACTGCGTTGGGACTATCCGGGATGCTGGGGCGACATGGGTTTGGATCATGAGAACACCCTCTTTGATGGTTTTTCTCATTCAGGCATCTCATTGGATCCGACCTTGGAGTGATCGGACACTTGGAGAAAGAAGCGAATCGTGGCTCAGGAGAAAGGCCACAACTTGTGAAGTTGTGAGCCGCGTATTTTCATGTGAGCCGCATATTTTCATATTTAACGACGATTTTTGTCTTCTGATTGGGATATTACCCGACTTTCTTGAGTGGGCCGGACCAAACTTCACTCAAGGTCAGTAGAATGACTCAGATTCCCCTTCACACCTGTGTGAACCCACACTTTGCTTGACCCTGTTCAATCGAATGTTCATTGAAAAGGTCAAGGAAATGTGTGTTTGCATGTGAATGGTGAGGTCTGACTTGAGTATGGGATTGCATTGGTTCTCTCTTGAACTTGTTGTCTTTCGTGTTGTGCAGGTAGGTAAAAGGTACAACCGCCAACAAGAAGTTGGCTATCGACAATAATATAGATGCAGCCGACAAGGTGACTGCCTTAGTTTTAACTTGATGAGATACGTTGCCAAAGTTTTTTATTCCACCCTACTGCCGACCTGAGATTCAATGCATATATTAGTCTTCATCCGTTTCCAATCTTTTTTGGATGACAAGTTGCTTCGCGCATGATTCTTGATCAGGGGCATTGCTTGAAGTCTTGCATGCTTCTCCCTCTAGGAAGTGGTCAGGGGTACTCCTCTTCGTCCGAGCACAAGACTCGGATCTCAGAAGTCGGCCCGTCTCCACCGAATCGGCAAGTACCCCTCTGTAGAACGGTCCACTCCGGGTCGATAACAGGGCCGGCTCCTGAAGCAACGAACCCCCGCTCCAGATGCTTCCTAGAGATAGAAGATGTGTCCACTGCAAGTAGCTTTCATATATTTTTTTTATTTCTCCTGAATTCAGGGTAGCTTTGACGAAAAGAAATCAGAGGAGATAAAGACTGAGAATCATCTGGACAGGTACATGTAGATAAGGTCATTCGGGATAGAACGGGTCGATCCTAAGGAAAATACTAAGCCCGTTTGACCTTATTCTGCTTAATTTCAATCGGATTCATTCTACGACACATGCATAATAACCTTTATCAAAACAACAAGTTTTTGACAAGCAGTCAGGTAGGAGGTAGAAAAAAGACAATATTTTTCATCTTGCTGAGTAGACATCATTAAACTTGTCTTTTACAATCGACCTGAGGCGGGCGGATTATTTTTAATCTTGTGTTGTTGAATGTATCAAATAATGATTTGGATGCTCCCAGTTGTTACTTTGGATTGGATGTGCATCCTATCGACTACGATCGACTCCTTCCGATGTAACTATGTATGGTTGTTACAATTTTTTTTAATTGTGTGTTAAAGGGACTAGGATTAATGTTGGGTTTCACGCTTGGTTGAGACCGTCCTAGTCGACCAGCGTCCGCTTCGTACTTAGGAGATCAACACCCTAAGGGACGGGCGACGCTCGGGTCCACTTGGCGTTAACCAAGCGTATCTATAATACAGCGAACGAGCAAACGCCCTCGGTTGACCTACCTTTGTGATTGCATTTGAAAACTTTCGCACGTGGGTTAATAGCTTGGTAGGGATACGCCCCTAAGGGTGGTGACAGCCCTTTAGGGAAGGGAAGCTTATGCCCTGCGGGAACCTATCCTGTCGTAGGGGACCGCGGGATGTACAGCTGGCGCACCCGACTAGAGCGGCGAAGGGACGATGCGACTGCGACCGTCTTGGCGGTCCGCTCGTCGTTCCCGAATTGTCTCTGAAGTTTGATGTTGTTAAACTCATGCGGGACATGGTCGGGAGGGCTCTCGCCTTTACAAAAAAGACGGGAGCCGATGCGCTCGACAGTACAATATATTGAGTGGACGATGGAGCACCGGGGGACGCTGGGTTTAAAATTGTACTGGAAAAGAGCGAGTTCTTCCTCTCGGAAATCTCGTTGTTGGGATACGTGGTAACACGAGGCGGGTTAAGGCCAGATTCGAGAAAGGTCGCGGTTGTCCGAGAGGCTCCCACGCCCACGTCACTGACACAGGTTCGGGCCTTTTGGGGACTGGCGTCATACTACCGTAGATTTATCAAGGGTTTCGCGACGATCACACGACCTCTAACGAATCTTCTACGTAAGGACCAGCCCCTACAGTGGGACGCTGAGTGCGAGCGGACCTTTGTCACTTTGAAGGAGGTCCTGGTTACTGCGCCTATTTTGATCCAGTCGGACCCGCAAAAGCAGTTCATACTCATTACCAACTGGCAGCCTGAAGCGATCTCCGCTATTCTAGCCAAGAAGGGGAAAGACGGTCGTGAACACGTCATTGAGTACGTTTCTCAGACAGTGCCTGGCGAGAGGAGAAACGATTCAGCTCCTCGGGAAGAGTGTTACGCAGTGGTTTGGGAAATCCAGCATTTCCATCCGTACCTCTACGGACAGAAGTTCCTCCTCGTCACGGATCATGAGCCTTGCTGTCCCTCAAGAGGCTCACCAACTACACGGGTATGATTGGACGTTGGGTGGTACGATTGCAAGAGTACGATTTCGATATCGTTCATCGGAAAACGGCGAAGCACAGGAACGCTGACGGTTTGACACGTCTGCATCGACCCGACAAGGTGATCAAAAGTGAGGAGCTTACCCTGTGGAAGGAACCAAAATCAACCGGTGAGCGCTCATACGGATAGGTGGTCATCCTTCCCCGAGCTTCTAAGGGATGACTGACACGATGGCAATGGGGTGCGGTGGTAATCCCGAAGGTCCCCTTTCTCCTCTCTCATCCTCCTCCTTCTCCTCCCTACCTGATAAATTTTGTTATTTTTATGAGGCAATTTCGAGAGTGTACTCGGTCCCTATGTGACCGAGCGGGGAAGGATATGTCGAGTGGGTAGACTGTCAGCGATGCGTTTTCCGACCCTATGGCTCTTGTATACAGTACCGAAATGCGACAAACCCTGGCTGTGTTCTCTGTGTCGCACTGACAAAATCCCGACGGAGGCTCGATTTCTCGAAGCCACGTCTGAAGGACTAGAAAAGACCCGACGGTTTAGAAGGGTTGAAGTATGGACAGATGTCGTCCTGATAGCTACAGTGGTTGGAAACCCTCTCCGAGACTTCACAAAGGAGGACCGGAGACGGGTCAATGAGAGAGTTCGGGATTACCGATGGAATAAGGGACGGTTAGAAAAACGAAAAACGGACAGAAGCGATATTTGGATGTCTGTCCCGCATCCGTTCGTAAGGTATGACTGGGTTGAGTCAGCCCACAAGGAGGCTGCGGCCCATTTCGCTCTCAGAATCGCGGAGGCAGCAATCGATAAAAATGAGTGGTACTGGTCTAACATTCGCGCCGATGTTAAGTTCATCGTCCGGAACTGTCAGGTCTGCGCTGCTGACAAGGCATCGATTCAGCCGCCTAGGTCGATAGTGCCTACCGTAGTCGAACGGTCATTCCAGAGGGTTAGTATGGACACCACGGATATTGTCGTCCCCCTTGGACCTAATAGCTGCGAGTATTCAATTCTACAAGTATTCGTAGACTATTTCTCGAAATGGATCGAGGCCTATCAGTGTACGACGCGACAGGCGGCCGAAATCGCGCGATACGTCAACCGTTTTCTCGGGATGCACCAGGACACCGAGGAGATCCTGACGGACAATGGGGCGGAATTTAGAGGGGAAGTCTTGAGGAACCTAGTCCTACATAGTGTCTCCATCTGCAACACTGCTCCTCACATGTCGCAATCCAACGGACTGGTAGAGAACGCCAATCGAGTGATTAAGACCGCCCTGCGACGCAATATCATGGCAAATGACACGAGGCCTTTGCCCGATATCGTGGACCATATCTTGGCTATCCACCGGGGGACACCCCATGAGTCCACGGGCCTGACCCCTTTCCAACCACAGACCAATAGGCTGCCCTGTGTAGCCCTACCGAGCCTAAATGATGAGACGGCCCTTCCACGACGGACCACTCGGGCGACGGTTAAGGATAAGGCTCAGTACCACCTAGAACTGATGGAAAAGGTCCTCCAACGACTTGCCCGTCGGCCAAGACGAGGACGACGACTCTCTAGATCCTCCTTTCTCTCTCAACCATCGTCTTCGACTCCGCCTCCATCGCCATGAGCTTTTCGACGGAGCAGGTGATCAGCGAGTGTCTAATGGTGAGGAGCCTTCTCGGCGATCCGGCAAGTACGACATCCTCGGTTGAGTCCAGATCTTCTCCGATTCGCGGCCTTCTTCAGTACAGCGGCCATCCACGAGGCGGCGAAGTTCCAGTTCGGGCAGTCTTGGGTGGCACGAGTGTTGGCCGAGGTGTCAGCCTTTCTGCGTCTGTCCCCACCCGGCGAGAGCCACGTGTCGGTCATTGTCGTCTTTACAGGCAACATCATGACACTGCACCCGACACGGCATACCGCCGTTCTTCGATAACGGCGGGACTGGGCAGCACGCATCACGACTGAGTGGGTGCGACTATTGGCTCGACCGCGCGATCGCATCGTAACGACGAACGACATCGATCTTCAGCTTCGGGTCTCCCCCACCCAGCCAGAGGTCGCCCTTCCTATGCTTCGTCCCTTCGCTCGGCCTCAATGAACCGCCACCGTCTCTCTACCTTCAGCCTCCCCTCTGATGTACCCACGTTTTGGCAATCTGTCGAGGAAGCGTCTCTTTCCTTCACAATCAAGCACTTGGATGTGCCGATTCTAGACGCAGCCAGGTGGACGCAGTGGTGGTAAGCCTACATGGCGCTCAGTTTTTGCCTTCTCGAGGTCGCCTTCCATTGGGCGGAACCCGCAGACAGGAGTGCGGAGGACGAGATCTCAGACGACGAGGTGGAGTTACTGCTCATCCAGGGGTGGAGAACGGACACGGAGGGAGATTTTTTGGGAATCTTATTCGGAGAAGTGCGAGACGGCCATCTGAGTTCCATTACAGACGAGCTGTTGGTGCTTCTCACCCAAGTGCTGGACGATCTGCCGTTGGAGATCCTCTCACATTGTGACGAGAAGTCGGGAACAGCCACGCTCGCGCGTACCCTGGAGCCGCATCTCCTTTGGTCCACCTGTACGGAGTTCGAGGAGGGTAGCTACTACCTACCCTCGAGAGATGCATACCTGGTCATCGACGTCACTGATTGCTCATCTTGGGATCCTCTTATTCGGCGAGTGAACGTAGGAGAGACCAGCGAGGAAACCGAAGAGGAAGAAGAGGAAGAAGAGGAACAGGAGGAAGAGGTCGAGGAAGAAGGAGAGGAGACGCCGGAAGAAAAGGAATCGGGGGCTGAATCGGACAATCCCGATTATCGAGAATCAGAGGACGCCGAATCGGAAGAAGCCAGTTCGGGGCAGGCGGAGGAAGAAGAAAGTGGATCGGGTGAATCAAGTGATCCCGAATAGCTGAGCAGGGAAGAAAGAGAGGTCGTGGCACAGAGGAACCGGGCGGCAGCAGAAGGCAAGCGGCCAATCGAAGAATCAGGAGGGTCACCACCGCAGCTGCTGCAGGGCGATCCGGCTCTCAATCCGGAACCGCCACGAGAAGAGGTCGAGGAAGATGGAGGCGCTACAACAGAGGGATCGAGAAGTCGGCGCTGCCGAAGAAGTGAATCGCCCTCCCAATCCTCCCCAGTTTCACCCGCAGCCCTTCGTCTACGTCGAGATGCGGGCGCTCGGGCTTCGTCCCCGGTCATTATCCCACCGTCCACGTGACTTCCTCACCCTCTAACAGCTCCTAGGGCGACCCCCGTTCCCTTATGGGTGGCAGTTGTTCCCACTCTCCCTCTTCTACCACCGCTAAGCCACCCGCCTTCTGGTCACCATCTTCCCGCACTCTGCTACTCGCTCGCTCGTCATTTCTTTCCCCCTCCACGTCCTTCTTTTTAGCGTAGATTGGCAGGAGTATAATAATATAGAGGTTTATTGGATCATTGCGCGCACGATCCCCGCGTGCGAGGAATATGACGACTTTCCCGCTGCCATCCGCCACACCCTCTACACCCTCTACCCTGACTACCTCGCCTCTCTCCCCCATCAATGTCGGCACCCTTGCTTTCCTCGCATCCATCGCTCCATTCATTACGTCCCACTCCCCTCTACTGATGAGGAAATTTACCGCTTCGTGCCTCCTCTCCCCCAAGTCTATCCACCACCTCCCCCATCTATAATTAGATTGCCTTTCCCGGGCAACATTTTGGATTGAGCGCACGTATGTCACGTCGGATGACTCCCACACTCGGATCCTACGGTAAGTGGCACGTGTGAGCTCCATGTCGATCATCGGGTTATGGATCGACGCATGAAGTGTGTGAGCAAGCGGGAGTTTGCTCAAGATTGGAACCCCCTAAGCGTCACATATGTAACACATATGTGACGAACTATTTTCTGTAACCACGCGACTTCCTATGCGAAGCTGCCTTGGGGAAATGAGACGGGTCGGATGGGTGAGCTGTGGAGAAGATGCTCGGTCGGGCAAAATTGCATGGATACCCTCATTCTTTTCGTTTCCTGTGATAATCTGTCGAGTTGGTGACGGGAAAGTCCCGCGCTGACGATTAGGTAACCGCGCCTTAGCGAGCGCGATGGACAACGGTTGCCATGGCTTCTTTCTTGTTTTGTCGTGAGCACTACGAATTTTTGGCGCGATCATCGCGCGGGAATATCGTTTTTTAATTTTTAACTGATGTCAAACCCCCATAGGCTCGCGGAATTGTTTTTGGGCTCTTCGGAATTTCCTTTTTGCAATTAGGACTTAGGCTAGGAATTTAGGTACTCTGAATTTTGTTGCGCCGCGCTTCTCACTCACTCACATCTTGCGGCACTAGGAACTGGGCTCTGACTGGATCGCGCCTTTAATCTTGTGTAACTGTCGTTTTTGGCGGGCGCAATTGTAACTGTATCTTTCTTCTTTCTTGGTTTCCTCGTGTTTGCCCGCCTTCTCCGTCTTCCTCGCCTTGCATACTCTGTTCTAATTGGCCTGAACGCCTGCATGACCAGATTGATGCATGGAGTGTGGCTACGACCCCCACGCCGCGACCAGACCATGCAGACGTAGGCACTCCCTCTCTTCCCCTCCTGACCACTTGGGCTTAATCCCGTACCTTTCGCGCAAGCATGCATGCTATAAATTTTGCAAGCGCGATTGGTTTGCTCTCTATGAACTTTGGAGTTAGCGCGATCAGTGAGGGTCGGCTAACGAGTCAGCTTGAAAGGTGAGACGACGAGGGAGTTGGGCGATCCGACGAGCTGGTGTCAGGTATGCGGGGTTGACGTGCGGGGCCGCGACGGACTGTGGCGCACGGGCGAACCTGGCTTGCATGCTCGAACCAAGCGGGGTGACAACTCTGTGTTGATGCGAGGCGACGGACTGCCCGCATCGGGAGTGTAGAGCAGAGAGAGAGAGGGAGAGAGAGAGAGAGAGAGAGAGAGAGAGAGAGAGAGAGAGAGAGAGAGAGAGAGCAGCTGTGTGTGCGGGATGAGGTCTTTTCTTTTGTTTATCTGTATTATTTTGGTTACTCCTATGGCTGATTTTGTCGCGGTCTTTTCGAACTTTTCCCTGTAAATCGTCTCAAATTTTCTTTGTCGTTTTTACCTCGTATGTATGCATGGAATGGATGTAAACTTTTTTTCGTTAGTGATCTTTTCGGATTTCCAACTTTGTTTTGCGATGCCTGTTTAATTCAAATTTCTACTACCCATCTGCATGAGCAATACTCTCAAATCGGATTGGAAGCACTCACTACGGATGTTTGAGTTTTATCGTTAGTCTTCGATCGTCATAAGGTCACCAAGAACGTTGTGATATGTTGATTGTCCTTTCCCTTTTTCTCTCCTTTTTGTCACAGGAATGGCATGGATGTGAATGTAACATCTAGATTTCACCCAACATAGCATGAGTAGGATAGTTGCATGTAGGACGAACGCAATTGGTACACCGAACCCAGGACCGATCCACTTTCGCTCATGTGCGCGCTCACGTACGACCGCGATCTCAAGAAAGGCGAGTCGCCGTGTACGCGCACGTTTGCATGAGCCGACCTCGAATTCAGTATAAGGATGCAGGGGACCGAGCTCACTAAGTGGATATGGCTGTGGAATTTCCCTCTTGGATCCCCGATCGTGAGAGCCCGAGGGACCCGGAATATCGCGAATACTGGGAAGGTGAACAACTCAGACGGCGGGGAAACTTAAGAAACCCGAAATTCCCCTGTCTGACAGAGAACGACCGATTGTGCGCAAGGGACTTTCACTGTGCCGTAACTAACGATCCTAGGGGCCCCGACTACCCGGATACTTATAACACGCAATATTACATATCCCCGGATTTCGTCGTTATTAACACCAATTTCTCTCCCTTTCACCTCCTTCTTCTATATCACCAGCTCACAGTGGTGCTGTGGAATTCCATAGCCCGCTATTGGCCTCGCACACCGTGCGAAAAGTGTCAGCTGCACCAGGCATATCGAGCTTCAGAAATTACCCGACGAACCCGAACCGAAGTTGAGCGACGCCGACAATTGGCCGAACCACGCGACCGCCACCACAACCCACGGAGCCGACCACAGCGACGCAACTGGCATAGACGATAATCCCAGACACGATCTTTGTGTACCATCTTGCACCGTTGTCCCTAAACTTGCCACCGGAGATCTCAGTTCCGACCTGGGACTCCACCCCCACTTTCCTAAAATCCTTGGCACACCCCCTTTTCGCACTTTCAGCCCCCATCCCACTCCGATCAGGAAGTCGCGCTGGGCGTGAGGTTAGGGTGTCACACCGCGCCATGCTGGGTTGGTACTTAGAGGTAGGGGGCTCATGGGTTAGACCTTGGTTAGCCGACCATTAGACACTGCCTATGAGTGCCCTCACTGCTCACGGGACTAGTTGAGAACTATGCGCCTAACTCCCGAGGTTCCCGTATAACGAGCCTTGTACGCTAGTGCCTCAACTGGGGCTGAATGGGGGAGCTCATTCAGCGTCAGTGCCCGCGTCCGCTGTCTGGTCAGGTTGCTTCAGTAGAGAGTGATGTTCCTCGCATGAGATAAGATAGAAATGGAGTGGGGGTGCGCCAGGAGATATATCGAGAGGAGTGGTAGGATGGGATCTCATAGTCTGTATTATGTGTGGGAGTGGGTGTGGGTGTGGGTGTGGGTGTGGGTGTTGTAGGTGTGTCAAAGTGAGGGCACTCAAACTTTGTGCACCACCTCGGTACCCTCCTTGCACCCGGTAGGCTGAACCTGGCAGTGGCCTTTGTGTGCACCACACCGGCGTCACTAGGCCAGTGGCATGCTAGTGGTTGAAATTGACATAATTGTACCCCTGGAACAGTTCGAACCCCAGGATCTAACCATCAAGAATGGCTTACCAGTCCATTTCTGTGGTACCTTGTTTTGTTTTCTTTTTTTTTCGTTACGTTGTTCTCACATGCCGATGAATGCACCAAAAAGTTGCTGTTTGGGCCTACTGGAGGCAAAAGGCTGGCGGCAGCTGGCAAGATCGTGCTCATGACGGTTTGCTTTTCTTTAGGGCTGGGCAGCACAGCACGTTGGGAAGAAGAGGCTCGGATGCTATGAATCCCCCTTGGCGGCAACCATCTGCGGCCAAGTCCGCGGCCTCGGCCTAGGCCGCGACCCCGCGGACGTGTCCGCGCAGCCGCGCGGCCTTTGCGGCCGCATAGCGGCCAGTGGGGAGGGGGGTTCGGGATTCGGGAAGCGCCATGGGGCGGCGCATCCCCAGCCCCACCCCCTCAAACAAAAAAAAATTAAAAAAAACTA